TGGGGCTGTGGGGTGCTGGGGGGCAGCTGAGGCGGCGGTGGGGAGGGAGGGAGGCAGGCAGGGAGGAAAGGTACCTGGGCCCCTGTCAGCTGCGTGGCGGTGGGCCTGTCGCTCTGCCGGTGCCCCCGGGCCTGGCCCCGCGGTAGGCTCAGCAGGGTGAAGGCGCTGGCAGCTGGCTGCGGAGGGCTCGTTGGGAGCCTGCTTCGGGACGCTCGCTCTGCTCCACACCGAAGTGAGGCGGCTTTTTTCCTCCCTAGCGCGGATTGCCTCGCTGAGGGGTGGGTCATGCTGATGGCGGCGGTACCGGGGCAGCTTTCTCACACGAATACCTGTGGAGCGTTTCTGGGATATAGCGTGGTGTTGCTATAATACCTTTTTTTTTTTCCTGTTTCTTTTGTTGTTGCGCAGCTTGGGGTTTGTGTGCTTCTCATATGTTGTCATCTACTTCCTCTGCTGGGGTTTCTACCTCCTACACCCTTCTTTCCATCAGGGGCGGTGGGGGGAATGTGCAGTGCGTTTATTTATATAGAGTTTCTAACGCCAGAAGCACTCCTTTAATAGACAGCCTTCCCAGTGCAACTGGGGATGTGCTTTTAGGCTGTCAGTGGCATCCCAGCAAAGTAACTTAATGTGTTCTGTAGAGGTGAGTTCTGTAGTTTGGGGTTCATTTTCACATACACAGTAAGAAGTTACTGGAGCTTAGACATCAAGCACAGTTATGTGAGCTTCGTAAAGAATGTTGTAAGCCAGCAGGGCACTTCCCAAGGTGTCGAGAAGATATGTGCAAGCTCTTTGAAGCCAGGGAGATGTACTCAGACTTTGAATGGTGTGTTGTCACTGGTAGTGTATATAAAGAAAAAAGCTAAGGTGGGAGGAGACTGTTCATGTCAGATGGATCATCTGTTGTGTACGTGGACGTTGGGTGACTAAATTAAAGGTTGTTCCAGTGTGCATCTATGGCTGTGCTAGCATGCAACTCTTCTGTCTTGACTGCTTTTCCACTATTGCAAAGCTGTGTTTGTGAATATGAAGTTCTGATAGCTTAATTCAGCCTTTAAAGACCATATGTTTAGAGTCAATTGAACTAATACAATTAGTAGACCCAAGAAGGCACGTGGTACGGTACATAAAGGATTAGGAGCTGTTGCCAAACTTAAATTGCCACTGTGAGGTAGAACTGTTCGTTAATACCCAGAATTAGTTAGGAGAGGGTGTTCAGAGTCCAGCTTTTGGCAGCAGATCGTAACAGGAAGACATTTCTTGCTCCAATTTTTGTCAAGAATCATTCTGAAAGAAAAATAAGTTGTTATCGCTGCATTGATGTTCTGATTTCCTACAGTAACAGCACCGCTTTCTCTGGTAGTCTGGTGTAAGCCTAGGGACTGCGTGTTAAATGCTTCCATGAATACTTCTTCACTCCTAATGTCTGGTCTGGAAAGAGTCATCTGGAATGCAAGTACATTGAAGGGAGGGGTTCTAAGAAGGGTGAGTAAAAATGGTTCAAGTATTACATTTCCTGACTTCAGAAGATGTCTTTAGTGAGGATTTTTTTTAGTAGTGAGTTTTTTTAGCTATAGCCTTAAACCCTAACTCTATGGTCATAAACTTTGCTTAAATCAATTTATTGAAAATTTAAGGTGAATGCAAGAAAACTCAGGCCTAAAAAAATGGGCTCCATTTTTTTGAAGATGTAGTACTAGTACAGACTATGAGGAAGTTGAACACTGGGGGCTGGGGAAAGAATATTAAGGAGTCCATGGGGAATTGGCAAAAGCAGTTCAAAAAATGGTAACTGTGTGTGTTCCAGTTGAAGCTGGTGATCTGCTTCTCACAGCAGCAATGGCCTTCTCTTTCTTCTGTTGATCGCTCATTAGGAATATTGAAAAAAAAAAAAATCTTCTGTTGTTTTTTCCTGATTGATGATATTATTTGATACTTGGATCTTTTCCCCTTGTTTGCAGACTAAGAGGTAGAAATTCTGGCATTCTGCCTCAAAAGAGGAATTGATTCTTCCTCTAACTATCCTGAACCTTCCATGGCTAACTTCAGTGATAGGCATATCTGCACAAATACGCAGGTACCTCTGCTCTGTGTGTATATTGGCGTACTGCACACCGGGTAAACAATCCCACTTTTGGGAAAACAATATTGTCTCATTAACTGGTAGGACAAATGAACACAGTCATATACTTGTGGGAAACATCTGTACCTATTCTCTCAAAAGACAGAGCTTAGCGGCTTTCCCTGACCCGTCTGATTTTACTTACCTGACTGAAAAACATTCCCTAGATTTGTTGCTTTGTTGCCTGATAGGGAATCTCAGTTCCTACAGAGGAACTGCTGAAGAGTAGGTTTTGTGAATAGTTAGCCAGCAATTGCGAGGAGACTGGAAAAAAGATTTGTATTCAGGGTGAGAGTTGACCTATATCTTACTCTTGTAGTTGCACTGTACAGACTGTAGCAATGTACTTGCTGCCAAAGATACTTTGAAACTCGTCTTGCTGAATAGATGGCACTTCGGGATTTTGCTTAACTCAGTGCATGTTTTAGAGGTTCATGTAGTAGAATGGCATCTATGCCATAGAGTCTTTCTGTGCTGAATTTAGCAGTTGAAAAATTGATGAGAAGCCATCTGAGGTAATTTTTTTTCTTAAGATTTCCATTTTTACTGCAAGAGTAGGGTAAACAGGTTTGCATTCTCTTTCAAAGTCTAACTAGTCACTTCCACAAAAAGAACATTGCAAGGAATAACTAAAAATCTGTGATGGATGCTCTACGGCAGTTGTTGCCAAACCTTTTTTGTTCATGCACTCATCTCAGTAAAATTTTTAAGCATCCATCTTCAATATTTAACTTATAAAAAATTAAATATATGTACTAACATAATATATGCATCAGAAAACATGCACAAAAACAGAAATGAAAAAAAGAATGACAAAAAGGTGAAATAAACACTGTGTTAAGAAAAGCTTCACTTATTAACAGCACAAAAAGTATTTTCTTCCTGCACCCGCAGTGGGTTGGCTAGCACACTCCCTGGGGTGTGCACACCCCACTTTGGAGATCACTGCTCTAGAGCATACAGACCCTTACTAGTTGTTTTGTCATGATAGTGTTTGAAGCTTGAAGAGCTTGGAAGGAAGCTGACTACAGTGATTAGTTAGGGCATTTGTCAGAGCTTTGGGAGATTGCCAGCTGCTTGCACTTAGCGTATTTTTGGCTATTTTCCGAAGGTGAGTGACCATTCTAACACTGAAACTAATAGTATTTCTTGTCTGGCAGTACCAGTCCTTTAGCTTTATAGGCTGGCAGTTGACTTGTTCTTCCAATACAGCAAAACTTTGAAACTGTTGGGCTCACTCGGGCTAATGACGTTCTTCTTGCTGAATCACACTGCATAGCTCTGCTTGTTTCTGCCCCTCTCTCCATAGTGCTCTCTTGAAAATGGTAATTCTCACAAAATGGTAGCATCTTTATCCAGCATAAGGTAGGATCTTTTTGGTCTAGCATAGGCTTCCAGAGTACTTTTACTATATTTACATAGATAGATTGAACACTGGCCTTTCTAATTGAGGAGAAACGAATAAATTTTAAAGCTGATTTTAATTATATATGAAGTGGTGGATGGTTGAAACAAGCGCTTAGCACTATGAAGCGCTCTAGAGTCCTAGGTCGGCATGAGAGCGCCCAGCAGTGTCTGCAGCTCAGCACTCTTTGGAAGTGAAGCATTCTATACAGTGTTGTCAGCTGCTTGTTTCAGTCACAAGTATTTTTGCCTACTTTCTTCTTTTAATATATCGTTGCATGTCCCTAATTTGTTTAGCAAATGGTAGGATTAATTTCCAATTGACCTTTTCAGAAAGGGTTATAGAATTAGGTAGCCTTGTAACAGAACCAAATTAAAAAATGTCCGTTACTTTTTTTAATTTAACTGGAAAAACAAACTGAGCTATCAGCTTTAATCTCTGAAGCAGGTGCACAAACATAACATCTGTGACTTTGTTCAGTAGTTGAGCCTTGACTAATAAGCTGTTCTTATGAACTGTGACCTTCCAGAGGTCTTTCAGAATAGTTTTCTTAACTGTTTCTTAGAAGTAGACACACTCCTGTGAGTAGCGGGTGCACATTAGTCAGCAGTTCTGTGAGAGAGCAAAGCTGTAAGTGATCCCTCCTCTAGTTGCATTATCGGTCATCACTGCAACCTCAGTTTGGTTTAGAAGGAAGTCCCAGAGCTAAGAACAGTTAAACTAATATTTTGTTGTTGCTTTAGTGCTGTTTTGGAACCACTATTCTGAAAACAATTTTTTCAAGTACAGTTTCTCAATAACAAAGCTGCTTCCTTCAGAGAGAATTTAAATGATGCAATGGAAATGAAATAGGTTTATTTACTTTCAGGGAAGAGCTGCAAACATTTAGTGAGCTCTACCTTATGTTGCTCAAATGTCTCTTGCCTTTCAATTTAGTAAACCTTTTACTTTTCATATGAATTTACAAAAAAATTGTTCTTTGATGTGTGTGCGTAGATAGTATACCCTATTTCTATTTGACCTTGTGTGGTCTTTTGTTGTAAAGTCAACCTTCCTCAAACTGAAATCAGATAGGAAAGCCTTTACCAAAAAGCTAGATTAGTCTAGTTCTGTCAGGCATATGGACTGATTTGGAGCAGACAAAACCAAACACCCGAGCTGGTATAGCTGTTAAAGATAACATGATGCTTGTTACTGCTGTGACAGGTACTGTGTAAGTGGTTTGTATATATTAATAGCAGCATGCAAGCTGCTGGGTAAGTTAACCCTGTCTTAGTTTTCCACTAGTCCGGAAGCATGTCTGAATCTCTTGACAAGCTGTGGAGTTCAAAGTTCTAGGGGTAGCATTTGGGTTTAGATCAAAATTATTTAGGATAGTAGAATGTAATTTGTGGGAAACATGGTAACTTCAAATTTGTCTCATAGTTTCAAAACAGAAATGGCCAGCAAATATCCTGAATGTATAGGTACTTGTATTTAAAAACCAACTGTTACGTGGCGCTCTGAAGTGTTGAAGTTCAGTGGTAGAACTTCTTATGACTTATCACGATCGGCTGTATCTGTTAGATTCCTTGAGCTGACAAGTGCTGTGGTCTCTGCCACAAATGCAGCTAGCCTTGTTTCTTCTTATGCCTCTTTTGGTGTTTTTTTTCCAAATTGTTGTTTGTCCTTATGCTGTCTTGGTTGCTACTTGCAGGGTCTGTTGCATCTGGAGCGCTCTTTGCTGTCTCCACTAGTTTTTCTGAAGAGCTCTACACGCTTTCATTTTCGGACCTTTAGAGTACAGCTGCTTACCCACACCGACCGCTCTAGATCCTTTTTAATCTTGTGTCGTCTGGCAGCCAAACTTCTCGAGCTTTATGTCCTCTTCAGTGTGCTCAACAGACTATTATCTATTTGTCTCAGTTACACTGTCAAGCTTCTTGTCTCCTTAGTTTTGCAGCTTCACTTGTATGTCTTAGCATTTTTTCTTGATTTTTTAATTATGCTTTACACGTTAAAGTTGATTCTCATTTGTCTATTTACTTGTTCTAATCAAAGGTTGTGCTTAAAGTAACAATGTGGAAATCACTTTCTGGAATCTGGCTTCCAAGATTAGCCTTTTGCCAATACCTGCAGTTCCTCTGTTGTAGTAATAGTTTTCAAAACATGAACTGATGAAGTGTCATGTTAGTGGTGTGTCACTTCAGGGATGATTTATCTCTGATGAGACACTTTACTTGCATGAGGGTGAAAACTATGCAAGTTCTGTTTGCTGTCAAATGCTTACAGAAAGTCAGTAGAGTTCTATAAACTTTTGGAGAGTTTTGCTGGCATTTAGTATTGGTGCAGGTAGTCTTTAATAGCTAACCATAACTTGCTGAATGCTGTATCTCATGTACAGGGCACTAAGTTCTACCAGTTTAGGTACCTTTTCTAGTTGTAGTGCAGGTCTCCAGCCTGTCAACACCTTGCCACTGCTACAGGGCATTACACACCCCGGAGTCCCAGAAGGCGGGGGTTCTAAATGTAGTGGCAGCTTTGCTTAATCATCTGTTTATATTTTAAGCTTTTATTTTCGTTTAAGTGAGTTGTGTACTGAACAGGGTGAGGCCTGTAGAATCTTCTTTGAAATGTGGAGGGGGTATGTTTACCTAAATGAGGTGGTATCTGAAACTGGTGACTGAGAACAGTCACATTTCGGCTGTGATAGTTTTAGAGGCTTTCAGTCCAGACGATAGTGCAAACCAAGTTGTTTGGAGCACAGTGAGTAGCCCATTTAAGTTAGAGGAACAAAGAAAATAGGAGGCACGATTCTGCAAAACAATGGTAAAACTGTCATAAATAAGTTTTTCTGATTATCTTCTCCCTCTCATTTAGTTCTCCACCTAATAGTCTTTCTTCTTTACCATTTATTCTCTTTCCAATATTTCTAATCAAATAACATATAGCCCATTCAGATAAGATGACAATTCAACAAGGCTTGCAGCTCTTTAACACTATGTTAGACAAAATAATTACTCACAGTTCTGAAGAGACCTCTGTATAAAGGTTTGAATGTGCTGGTCAGGCAAAATTAATTGGCATTACAGAATCACAGAATAGTAGGGGTTGGAAGGGACCTCTGTGGGTCATCTAGTCCAACCCTTCTGCCGAAGCATGTGGGTCACCTAGTCCAAATCCCCTGCCGAAGCAGGGTCACCTACAGTAGGCTGCACAGGATCTTGTCCAGGTGGGTCTTGAATATCTCCAGAGAAGGAGACTCCACAACCTCCCTGGGCAGCCTGTTCCAGTGCTCCGTCACCCTCAGAGGGAAGAAGTTCCTCCTCATGTTCAGACGGAACTTCCTGTGCCTCAGTTTGTGCCCATTGCCCCTTGTCCTGTCACTGGGCACCACTGAAAAGAGCTTGGCCCCATCCTCCTGACACCCACCCTTCAGATATTTGTAGGCATTTATAAGGTCCCCTCGCAGCCTTCTCTTCTTCAGGCTGAACAAGCCCAGTTCCCTCAACCTCTCCTCGTAGTGGAGATGCTCCAGTCCCCTCACCCTCCTTGTAGCCCTCCGCTGGACTCTCTCCAGTAGCTCTTCGTCTTTCTTGAAGTGGGGAGCCCAGAACCGGACAGAGTACTCCAGATGGGGCCTCCCCAGGGCAGAGGAGAGGGGGAGGAGAACCTCCCTTGACCTACTGGCCACACTCCTCTTGATGCATCCCAGGATCCCGTTGGCTGCCTTGGCAGCCAGGGTACACTGCTGGCTCATGGTTAACCAGTCGTCCACCAGGACACCCAGGTCCCCCTCCGCAGAGCTGCTCTCCAGCAGGCCCCCCCCAAGCCTGTACTGGTGCATGAGGTTGTTCCTCCCCAGGTGCAGGACCCTGCACTTGCCCTTGTTGAACCTCATCAGGTTCCTCTCTGCCCAGCTTTCCAGCCTATCCAGGTCACGCTGAATGGCAGCACAGCCTTCTGGTGTATCTACCACACCTCCCAGTTTGGTGTCGTCAGCAAACTTGCTGAGGGTACATTCTAACTCTTCATCCAGGTCGTTGATGAAGAAGTTAAACAAGACTGGGCCCAGTACTGACCCCTGAGGGACACCACTTGTCACCAGCCTCCAACTAGACTCAGCGCCGCTGATGACAACCCTCTGAGTTCTGCCATTCAGCCAGTTCTCTATCCACTTCACTGACCACTCATCCAGCCCACACTTCCTCAGCTTCCCCAGGAGGATATCATGGGAGACTGTGTCGAAAGCCTTGCTGAAGTCAAGGTAGATAACATCCACAGCTCTCCCTTCGTCTACCCAGCCAGTCATGTCATCGTAGAAAGCTATCAGATTGGTCAGGCATGATTTCCCCTTGGTGAATCCATGCTGACTACTCCTGATAACCTTCTTTTCTTCCACTTGCTTGATGATGGCCTCCAGGATAAGCTGCTCCATCACCTTTCCCGGGACGGAGGTGAGGCTTAGTGGCCTGTAGTTCCCTGGGTCCTCCTTCTTGCCCTTTTTGAAGATTGGAGTGACATTGGCCTTTCTCCAGTCCTCGGGCACCTCTCCTGTCCTCCAGGACCTCTCAAAGATGATGGAGAGTGGCTCAGCAATGACATCCGCCAGCTCCCTCAGCACTCGTGGGTGCATTCCATCGGGGCCCATGGATTTGTGGACATCCAGATCGCTTAAGCGATCCCTCACACAGTCCTCCTCGACCAAGGGAAAGTCGTCCTCTTTGTATGCTTCTTCTCTTACCTCCGGGGCCTGGGATTCCTGAGGGCCAGTCTTAGCACTGAAGACTGAAGCAAAGAAGGCATTCATTAGCTCTGCCTTCTCCGCATCCTCCGTCACCAGGACACCCGCCTCATTCAGCAGCGGCCCCACGTTGTCCCTAGCCTTCCTTTTGCTGCTGATGTAGTTGAAGAAGCCCTTCTTGTTGTTTTTGACATCCCTTGCCAGCTTCAATTCCAGGTGAGCCTTGGCCTTCCTCGTCGCATCCCTGCATGCTCTCACTACGTTTCTGTACTCTTCCCAAGTGGCCTGTCCCTCTTTCCACATGCCATGCACCTTTCTCTTCTGCCTGATCTCCGCTAGAAGCTCCTTGTTTAACCATGCAGGTCTCCTGCCTCCTTTGCTAAATTTCTTTCTCAGGGGGATGCATTGCTCCTGTGCATGGAAGAAGTGTTGTTTAAAAAGCGACCAGCACTCATGGACCCCCCTGCCTTCGAGAGCCCTGGCCCACGGGATTCCTCCCAGTAGCTCCTTGAAGAGGGCAAAGTCAGCCCTGCTGAGGTCCAGCGTTTTGATCCTGCTTATTGCCCTGCTTCCTCCACGCAGGATCCTGAACTCGACCATTTCATGGTCACTGCAGCCGAGTCTACCTCCAACCTTCACATCCTCCACCAGTCCCTCCTTGTTTGTTAACACGAGGTCCAGCAGAGCGCCTTTCCTTGTTGGTTCCTCCACCACTTGCATCAGAAAGTTATCATCGATGCTCTGTAGGAACCTCCTGGATTGCGCCTGCCTAGCTGTATGGTCTTCCCAGCTGATGTCAGGGTGGTTGAAGTCCCCCATGACAACCAGGGCCTGTGACTGTGAGGCTGCTTGCAGCTGCCTGTAGAAGGCCTCATGAACCTCCTCCTCCTGGTCAGGTGGCCTGTAGTACACACCCACAGTAATGTCACCTGTGTGAGCCTGTCCCTTAATTCTAACCCACAAACTCTCAACTTGTTCCTCATTTGCCCCCAGGCCAAGCTCAATGCATTCTACTTGCTCCCTCATATATAGAGCAACTCCCCCACCTCTCCTTGTTGGTCTGTCTTTCCTAAAGAGTCTGTAGCCATCTATGACAGCATGCCAGTCATTGTGTAAAGAAAAATGTTTAATTATAAGTAGGGTGGTATTAGTGCAAGTTTCTGGTTGCTGTTGAAGCTATTTGTACTAGAACTGGTCTGATGACTAAAAACTTTAGGTTCCATAGGCCCTTTTCACTTGATGCATACCTTTTTAAGTAGTTCAGTTGGACTGGAACAATTCAGACTGTGTAGTAATCTAGAGGATTGATTTGGGTTTAAAAAAAAAAAAATCCAATTTTTTCCAGTATTGGACACACAGTTGTGTTGGCATAATTTAAAGAGGAGGAGGATCACCTGTGAAACATTTGATTCTTCTTGACAGCACTGACAAGGTTTTTCTGAAGTGTGTTAGTCAGCATAGTACACCAGAATATTCAGAACCATGGTATAATCCTATAGCTAAACTTATTTTTATTTTTGAGAAAATTACTCATGGAGAAGCTTTTTACTGACTTATAACATCTCTTCTAGATGAAGAGGGAAATCAAGATGAATCACTGGAGTCAAAGGTGAGGAAATAAGTTTGTAGTCATTCTGTTTTTCTTGTAGAGTGAGAGCAAAGGTCTGAAATTCAGAACTATGATTCGATTCCTGTTTTAAACTGTTCAGTAGCTCTTGCTGTCTCGTTAATTTCTTCTGTGTATCAGAAGAATTAATGTTGTGTTATATCTTTCAAAAAGAGTTTTTTCGAAGAACTGAATGAGATAGTCAATGAGAGCTGATAGAGGTAGCTCAGCTTACTTTTGATGCTACTGTTTAAACTTAGTGTGTTAATCATGTCTTTAAAAAGCCATAGGCTGTTTTGCTAGCTGCTGCTGTTCAGTTTCTAATCTTCTGAATTATGTGGTTGCTTTCCTTCAGACTTTATCTGCAGAGGACCAGGTAAAGGACCATTCCACGGGAACTCGAGTGGTGGCAGGTCAGATCTTCGTTGAATCAGGGAAATCGGACTCTCAGTTGGAGGATGAAGAGAACTTTCTCAGTCAAGAGGAGGAAAAAGAGAATTCGCTGGAAGAGTTGAACTCTCTAGAAATGTCAAATCTATTAAATAAGGATTTGGAAGAAGCAGAAATACAAAGTCCAGGTAACTGCTCACAGACTTTTGAACAAATAGCAAGTAAGATGCATCTGAGTAACTCTGGCATATGAATGAACACAAATAGTAATTTTGAACATATGAAATAACTAATGTCTTAAGCTTTCTGGAATGGAATGATAACTGCTGCCATTTCCATGAGAAAGTAACATCAAAAACTTTACACTTGTATTGTGGTTGAAATCGGAGTGGTTATTTTTAGATGCATTTGAAAGGGTTTTCCATAGTTCTTGTTGTTTCTGTCTTCTTGGAAAGCTTTAACTATCAAATGGAGAAAGGTGTGATTTCTTCAGATAGGACTCAGGTACACATACTATGCTGTGTGTATGTATACCAACCATAGAAGGAGAATCATAGAATCGTTAAGGTAGGAAAAGACCTCTAAGATCATGAAGTCCAATCATCAGCCCATCACCATCATGCCTACTAAACCAAGTCCTTAAGTGCCACGTCTAAACATCTTTTAAATACCTCCAGGAATGGTGCCTCAACCACTTCACTGGGCAGCCTGTTCCAATGCTTGATAACCCTTTCGGTGACGAAATTTTTCCTAATGTCCAATCTAAACCTCCCCTGATGCAACTTAAGGCCATTGCCTCTTGTCCTATCTCTAGTTACTTGGGAGAAGAGACTGATACCTGCCTCACTACAACCTCCTTTCAGGTAGTTGTAGAGAGCAGTAAGGTCCCCCCTCTGCCTCCTCTGCTCCAGACTAAACAGCCCCAGATCCCTCAGCCACTCCTCATAAGACTTGTTCTCTAGACCCCTCACCAGCCTTATAGCCCTTCTCTGGACACGCTCCAGCACCTCAGTGTTCTTCTTGTAGTGAGGGGCCCAAAACCGAACACAGTACTCAAGGGGCGGCCTCACCAGTGCCAAGTACAGGGGTACGATCACCTCCCTACTCCTGCTGGCCACACTATTCCTGATACAAGCCAGGATGCCATTGGTCTTCTTGGCCACCTGGGCACACTGCTGGCTCATGTTCAGTGGCTGTCGACCCACACCCCCAGGTCCTTTTCCGCTGGGCAGCTTTCCAGCCACTCTCCCCCAAGCCTGTAGCATTGCATGGGGTTGTTGTGACCGAAGTGCAGGACCCAGCACTTATCCTTGCTGAACCTCATACAGTTGGCCTCAGCCGGTCAATCCAGTCTGTCCAGATCCATCTGCAGAGCCTTCCTACCCTCCAGCAGATCGACACTCCCGCCCAGTTTGGGGTCATCTGCAAACTTACTGGGAGTGCACTCAATCCCTTCATCCAAATCATTGATAAAGATGTTAAACCAGACCAGACCCAAAACTGAGCCCTGGGGAACACCACTCGTGACCGGCCGCCAGCTGGATTGAACTCCGTTCACCACAGTTGCATCAGTGTTTCAGCCTGCTGGCTGTTTGCCTGGAGAATTGGTTGACAGAGAAGGAGCAAGTAGTGATGCAAAGACAAGCTTCTTACAATGGCATTGGGAGCTTTAGAGCTACACCTAAATTGCATGTAAACTTCAGTAAGTTTTTAAATGTAGGTAAAACCTTGTGTCCTTGTGCCTGAATTCCCAGGAAATTCTAGTATTTCTTTTTTACTACTAATAAAAATACAAATTTAATACAATTTTTTGACTTGCAGTTAGTAGTGGATGATAACTAGATGGCACAGTTGAGTAACCTAGCCTATGCAGCAAAGACTTTTCCTTTTCACTTGTCCATAAAAAGTAAATCTTGAACTTTACTGAAAAAATATAGTTATATGGGAATAGTGGTATTTGTCTCTCTTCTCAACTCAGATTTGAATATCAAAAGAAAGCAGGAGTTATGACATTAGCTCCATTATATAGTAACTTTCAGTGTTTTTTAATAAACCTTCCTTGTTGTTGCAGAACTAGTATAGAGTTTGTAAAAACTCAGTAATAGGATTAAATATTGCTGTTGATAGGTGTGGTGCTATACAGGAAAAAGGTATGTAAAATCCACTAAATAACTTGCTGTCACAAAACAGTGAGCCAAGCATCATACTTAGTGAGTGCTGTCTATTTCAAAAGTAAACTTTAAGATACTTTTAATCTCACATCAGAAAGGTGTAACCAGATTGCTTGCTCCCTGGCAACTAAGGTTTTTAACTATACCTGTCAAAGTACTGCAGGCGACTTTCAAAAACCATACATTTAAGTCTTGCGCAGTTTTTGGAACCTCTTAGGAAGTAAATAAACGATGCGAAAGGGAGGATTCCTGGTTTTATCTAAAAAGCAGTTCTGAAGGAAGAGTATTTGTGTTACGGCAGGAAAAAAAACTGCTGAAGAACAGCTTTACTGGCAAGCTTTTTAACTGAGCAGGACAAGAATCTACCTCAGGTACAGACATTACATCTCTTGAATGAGCTACTGGTGACAAGACTGCATTAAGGGGCATTAATGCTTTTCTAAATACAGTTTGGCTCGTGTATGGTCATGAGATTGCATGGATAAAAAAATATTCTTCGAGTTTCCGTGTGTATTTTTCAGGATACTGAGCACAAAAAAATTTCATCTTCAGTAATTTAGAATTAGTACTATTAAGGCTTGTAACCTTCTAAGAAGGAAGCTATCTATTCTGATTAGCGAGGAGGTCATGTGTGTACAGAAAATGGTATTTTTTAGGTATTTATCTTTTATGTTGTACGTTTTTGTAACAATCACGTTCCATACTAACAGTTTTTGCTGAAAACTGTCCACAAGTTTATATGGAGCTGGCAATTCCTGCTGCATTTGTTTTCCTGTTTGGAGGAATCTTACAGTAATGTAACCAATACTTACAAGTAATCTCTGTTTGGGTTTCCTGTAGCATAAAGTATGAGATGAGACACGAGTAAATAAAGACAAAATATAATGATAAAACACCATATACTTTATTCAGACGTAGGAAAACAGGTAACTTGCTACTTGCACAGTAAGTTTGACGAAAAGTAGTTTATTCTCTGTGTAAATTATTTGTCTCAGTTTGTATTTATCATTCTTTAAGTACATGATAAAATAATCGTACTGAGCATTTTATCCTGTGGTCACACTGCTGTGTTGCTTTAGGGGTTAGTATTTGTTACTATCTGGGGAGAAAAAGAGCATTGTGGTTGAATTAAGAATTAAAAAAAGAGGCAAGGGGGAGGACTGGGGTAGAGTAATTTCATAGCTTTAGTGTACAGCTAACTCTCATGCAGAGCACTGTGTAAATGGTTCATGTCCAATTGCTTTCAATACAGGAGATGAGGTACTCAACAATACAAATAAAACTTCAAATTCTCAGGTAGTGTTAATATCCTGGACTTTGTTCAGATGACGGTGATAGGAGGTCCCGTCAGTTGTAGTTACGTGTACCCATAGCATGAGTTTGTGCATTACTCTGTGCTTAGCAGATGTCTAAAATTATTCCAGGCTAATTGCATCTGGACACATTATTTTTGAATGCAATTTCCGAAAATAGAATTTTTTCCCTGTGTGTTATGGGATCATTAACTTGATGTGGTGGAATTTCTGCCAAGGAATCAAATTAAGAAGAGCAATTTGAACAGGCTAATCCTGGAGAATTCCTTATGCTTCAGCATTAAACATTAAATTTTTAAATTAGTATGGTTTCTAGGCCTTACAATTATGGACCCTAAAAAAAAAGAACTCACTTTCTCTATAAACACAAGAATTATGAACTTAACTTTAAAAAACACTGTATAATTGACATTCTCAATTGCATGACTTTGCAAATGTCTTCAGATGAAGCTGAACCCAACTGCTGGATTTAGCTTAGTGAAAGAGAAAAACCTTTATAAAAAGCTAATTGAAATAATTTCATTTTCAAAAAACAAAGAGAGTTCTTGGTCTTCATAGAAGATTGATTTTATTTAAAAATACTGCAATATTGGAATCGGTAACCTTTGAAGTTCTAGTGCATGAGAAATGATAAATCATGCAGTTCAAAGTAATTTTAAATGCAACTTTATTGGTAAAGTGAAATAAAGTTTTCAATGTAAGTGTACGCAACAACAGAAAATTACTAGACTCTTAGTGATTTCATTAAAGTCGCTTTTACAGTTTTATGCTTGAAGTGTGCTCCCTGCTGATATTCAGGTACTTTCAGTATCACATTTGGCGATGTGAGTGGTTCTGTCACGATTACGTCTAACCCTGGGGCTAAAATGAGTATATGCACTGGAATGCATTTTGAGGGTAGTCTTTTGCATGAGTAATGGAGTGCAGAGAAGATAAAGTGAAAGGAAGGGCTGTTTATTTTGGTAAGCAATAAAAATGTAACAAAGACTTGCCTTCTCCAACCTAAATAAATATTTTTTTTTGCTTAGAACTAAGGAATATAAGAAACCACATACCTTCTGTTTCATTTCCTAATTAAAAACAAGAATAATATTTTTTTAAAGTGCCATTTAGAAAAATAATTCCTTTTTCAGGCTTTTTAAATTAGGAATTTTACGGAAAACTTGATTAATGCAGTTCATAGGAATTAAAACCAACATAGGCGTGCTTTCCTGAATGTAGTAGATAACTTTAGTTTGTGAAATAAAGGAAAGCAGTCTAATTCCTGGGTATATATTTTCAGTTTTGACAGCTATTGGAGGCACTGCAGATGGTGAACCTTGCCACTTCCCCTTTTTGTTTATGGAGAAGGAGTATGCAGAGTGCACTGCAGATGGGAGGGAAGATGGAAGGCTTTGGTGTGCAACAACCTATGATTACAAGAAAGATCAAAAGTGGGGCTTCTGTGAAAGTAAGTAACCTCATGTCTTGTTCTTGTCCAAGGAATGCTTTCTTAAGCTAGTGTTTTCAGTCCTCTTAATGCCCTTTATTTCAGGGTCTAGAAGTCCCTGTCATATATTAATGGCCACTTTGTAGTGTGATATACAAGTAATTATAAAGGCAAAGTTCTCATGATGGAAAAGATTGTAATGCAAATGCCACTTCCCGAAGCTATTTGGGGAATCTTGCAGTGGAGGCATCTGTAAAACTTGGTTTCTGAGACTGTAGGAGTACAGGGGTTTGACAGTGTTTCACATTATGCTCGCTGATTTGTTGTGCAAAGGCAACCCTTCTCTATCAAACGTCCTCCTGAAGCAGCAGCCTTTCTTGCTTGCGCAGCTTGCTTTGGACCAATGGAAAGAATATTTTAACACCAAACTCTTACATTAGAGACATGACATGAGAAGAAACTGTTTACCAAGATATCCAGCACCTCCTTTAGACAGCTTTTTGTAATCACTTGAGTTGTTTATTGGTCTTCAGAAATATATTTCTGGTTGTATTTTCCCTTTAGAACCAATAGGAGTTTTGAGAGAATGGTCTTTAGCTGTGTCATTGGAGCTCATAATGTACTCTTTTCTTTTTTTTAGCTGAAGAGCAGTCTAATAAGAGAAGGCAGATGCAAGAAGCCGAAGATGTTTATCAGACTGGAATGAAAATGCTTAATGAAAGCAGTAACAAAGCTCAGAAGAAAGAGTAAGTCGACCCCCTCTGCCCCGACAAGAGAAGGATGACATGGCTGGTTGCTCTGGCTTAACTGAAAAGTAACTTAAATGAGTTGCCCTGGGACTTTGTACTTTATTTGACTTAGCATCAAACCGTGCAATGATATTACTGAAAATAAATAGTAATTTCAGGGTATTTTTGTGCCTGCTTTCCTCTGAATCCACTAATAATAGTATAAGATTAATTTCTGAAGGGTGGATGTCATCAAAGCATTAACAAGAAGATGCTGCAGTTCTGTCGCTACAATTCATATGTGACAACTGCCTGAAAAGAAGTGAGACTGTAATACAAGATAATTGTTCTTTTTCAAATGTTTTTTACAGTCTGATTCTCATTCTGCCTCAAATATTACGTGGGAAAAATCAGCATTTCTTGTCCTGCTCTGTTTTTGTTCCTGCTTTTTCATGTTTTCAGTCACCATAAAAATAGTATTAAACTTAATCTTAACAAATTTTTAAAACTCTAATAGAGAGAAAAGGGTAATGCTTGTAGACAAAACAAAACAAAAAAAAGAATGAAATGAGTGTTCCTTTCATTCTGATCTGGTTACTTTCTACTCTGTATATATACAATTACTGATGAAATAGTTGTCAGCTTACCACTATAATTAAGAACAGCTATGTTAATTTAGATCTCCATGGTAGTCCTGTTGACAAATTCGTCAGTAAGTGGTGACTTCAGGCTGCTGAGTATTTTGTGAGCAGTATTACCATGTTAAATTTATTTGTTGAGATAAGGGAGCAAATTTCTACTTTCAGGATCAGGGAAACTGAAGCCGAGCTGGAGGTTCTCTATCACACCTTGGCAAAGACAAAAGGAGACAGTATCTGTTAGACTCTGACTAGTATTCTTTTGTGTAAAATAGTGTAGGAATTGTAAAACAATGTTAGATCTTGGTTCTCTTGAACGCCTTACGTTTTCTTGGAAGATGAAATTATGTGAGGAACCAGGTGTGCCTCAGCCTGTCAGAAAGAGGAAAAAAAAAAAAAACCCACAACCAACAAGTCTGAGAATAGAAAGGAGAAGAGGTAAAAAAAAAAAACTTGGAATGCTATCAGAGGTCCCTAAGAAAGCAAGCTGAAGCATACTTGATAGTACTGTGTTATGACATATAAGGTTACAATCTTTTATATTGCTGTGAAACCAGTTGCTGTGAAATTACTTTGGAGGACTACTGTAATTTCTGGGGCTGAAATAGAAAGAGGAGTTTGCAGAGAGCTTTCTCACTGTTAGCATGACTGTTTCATCACAAAATTGATCATGTATGAGGTTGTCTTGGACCCAGCACTTACTGTTTTAATTGGAATCATTTTGTATTCCAACAAATCAAGGACTCCACAGCCTTTGTCGGACTTTTTTTTTCCTGTCATGATCTATGAAGCTGTCAGAGTAGTGGTCCTGCTAGATACCTAGTACAGGATGTAAAATTGTTGCTACAAAAATGTGATCATTTGACCTTAAACTTTTCATGTATCTTACAGGGAGGAAATGCATACTGCTTTGCATATGGAGTAGAGTGAGCATTAAAATCCAGTTTGTCTATTAGCTAAATCATATGAGTTGTTGCATAGATGGATGACTTGGAGCTGGAACAAATGTCTGTAGGTAGATGCATTTATAGAAGATACAGGCTAAAACAGAGGAACAAAACACCTCCCCAGAATCTTCAGGTTTATGAATGGAATCTGCTTATGGCCTCAAGGTGACTAAGAAATTGTTTTCTTTTAAGAGCGTATCAGTATCTTCTGAAAGCAGCTGACATGAATCATACCAAGGCAATGGAGAAGGTGTCTTATGCTTTGTTGTTTGGGGATTATCTGAAGCAGAACATCCAGTCATCGAAAGAACTGTTTGAAAAACTGACAGAAGAAGGTTCTCCTAAAGGACAAATGGTATGTATGTGCTTAGATTCTACAGAAGTTTTTATAGGTTTACAAATTGTTTTATAGATTGTTCTTGCATTCAGAGTAGAATGAGAACAGTAAGTGGTATCTGTTGCCTGGTTAAAAAAGACAGCAGAGTGCTGCTTTTTTAAATTGTTTGAAAACTTGATGTAAAACGTTCGGTTCAGGCTTTGATTCAGGAAATGTATTTTATTAATGCTTGCCTAAGCATTTCCTAATCCTGACTACTCATTGCCTTTACCTTTTAAAATTTCACCAGTGCCTTGCATTGGTTTTGTCCCCCAAATGCGTCGTCTTTGCCTGGCTTCTGCGTGCTGCTAGCATTACTGAGGGTGCAGTGACAAATGACACCTGCACCCTCGCGGTAAACACATGGAAACAGGTTTTCTCTTTAAGTTTAAAAAATTCAGCATCAGACTAACAGTAATATAGTATGGGGTGGTCTTTTTGTTCAGTTTCTTGTCTGTTGTATGACTGACTGGTTGTATACATCAAAAAATCGGTAATTACAGGTGACTCCAGCCAACAAATCTTCTCTCTGTTACCTTTTTCTGGAGGTTTGTGTGGGATAGTGTGGCTTTTCATCTGCAGTTTTATCTTTGAGATAGGTAGATATACACACACAAAAGTTTATAATCTAGGAAGTTACAAACTTCTAGGAATCTCGAAAGCTGTTTAGTGGAATGCGACTCACCTTATTCATGTGCCTTTGAACATAATAGAATTGTTCATATGTTACTGATCACATGTAATGTCATAAAATGTGAGTGTTATCAATTTTAATGTCTCAATGTCTGCGTATTCTTATTGTTCTCTCTCTTGTTTTGAAAGTGTCAGCTTCTCTAGCAATTAGCTAGTTTTAGCTCTTCAGCTACCAGGTCTCATGCTATTCCCCGTTTAATGTTGGCAGTGCTGATTTACTATAGAAAGCAGGACCATGTTTTCTCTAGAGACTTTATATCTCAATGAAGACCTGGACTTTTATTGGTCTAGAATTCAACACTGTCTAGATGAGGTGATTTTTTTGTTGTTGTTATGCTTTCAGAATTGCCTAGAATAGTCTTAGAACACTGTGAAATACAGACACCTCCATATATATAGATATACATACTGTTGCCTTCTGTGCTACTAGTTTCTCCTCTGAGCCATGCAGCTGTAACAGGTGTTATAGATAGAGCAGTAATTACGTAAATTTTAAGAATAAAAATAACTTTTGAAAAACCTCAGCCAAACAGCTCTGTGCATTCTGACTGCTTATAGTTACAGTCATAAATGCAACTAACCCATGGCAGAACAGATGCAAGGTAATAAATTCATAGGATTTGTCAGACAGCAAATCAAACAGTAAGGCTCTTCTAGAGAGGGTCATCGTTCATGTATGTTTGCTCTGGTGTATGAGACAAATAGGGTACATGAGTAACCTGACAGATTCTGCTCATCTTCACTTGAGGGTCTTTTAACTGGGATGCTTTTACTGTTCAGGACCTTTGGATCTACACTTGGCATTCAGGGAAGTGGTAATTTCTTCCTTGCATTCAATTCACTAGACCGAATTCTGGTGAGATGTATTTATGTTAGTGTCGTAGGCAACTGAATAATGTAGAAACTGCACGCTTTAAAAGGGGCAGGGAAGTGCCTAGATATAGGAGGTACCAAAGTGAAGGTAGAGCTTGGCATACTCTTTGCAGCTTTGAATTGTTGTTTGACTTCTTTATACTTACGTATTCCAGGAAAACTTATGCTGGATTTTTCAAAGGATATGCTGACAAACTTTATTTTATTTCTAGGCTCTTGGATTTCTATATGCATCTGGTCTAGGAGTCAATTCTAGTCAAGCTAAGGTAACTTAGAAATCTTCAATGTGTGCTCTTGACTTTTGTCTTGGAGGCAGATGTTAAATAACCAATGATTTTGTTTTAAGGCCCTGGTATATTACACTTTCGGAGCTTTAGGAGGAAATCTGATTGCCCATATGATCTTGGTAAGTAAGATAGTTAACGACTTTACACATGCGAGAACTTTTTTGTACTCTTAAATATTTAATGTAAGATTTGCATTCATGTGAATAGACTGTCCAAATAGTAGATCATCATGCGTGCGCTGGGTGGGCAATAGTAATTTCCCATTTATTCCTTGTTAATCTAAGGAAAAAGTGTGGTCATTGTAAGCTGTGTACCACTATGAATTTAGACGGACCATGTTTATATCTCTTGACTTAAAGCAGAAGTGTCAGACTTCTAATTTTTATAGGCTATTGAGAACTGTAAAAGCCAGAGATCTTGGCAGAAGATGCCGTTTTCATCAGTATTATGAGATTTAAGACAAATACAATGCAGCATGTGTAAATAAAAGGCTTTAGATTTTCACCCATAAGTATCACTCTGCTTATTTGCTTTTTCCTGAGTAATACCTGAAGTACATTGGCTACACTTAACCTTTAATGGTATCAGTCTTTTCATGCAATTTTATCAGTGCTTTTAGTGCAGGCACAAAGGACTTGTGGCCTTTGTTTTGCCTATTGTCTCATCAAATCTTGCTCCAGTAAAGTGAAAAAAGTCTGTAACCTGGCAAGCAGTATGTTGTCAAATAACCTATAGTCCCATATTTTTATATTTTCCTCTCTAGGGTTACCGGTACTGGGCTGGGATAGGAGTCCTTCAAAGTTGTGAATCTGCTCTCATTCACTACCGACTTGTAGCTAATCATGGTAAAAACTTTTTACTAGGCTAATGTTCTTGACTTTCTATGTATTTCTAGATCATTCACCTAGAAGATACTAGAAGTACTATTAACACTAATAGTGTGAAAATAGAGATTTCCTGCTATTAAACAAGTTATCTGTTTGGCTCTGAAACGTGATACGCTATTTTTGTCTCTTAACTAGTGAAATGTCTTTAATTCTTAGTGAGTGTCAAAGTGATTCATTCTCTCTGAGTAACAGCTTGAAGCTCTGTAGAGATCTGTTCTTACTAAGTTGCAGTGTTGTAATATTTGTGTTGAACAAAATTTTCTGAAAACTTGTCTTATCTGTTTTCCAGTTGCTAGTGACATTTCTTTAACTGGTGGCACAGTGGTTCAGCGAATTCGCTTAGCAGATGAAGTAGAAAATCCAGGAATGGCAAGTGGGATGCTAGAAGAAGACTTGATTCAGTATTATCAGTTTTTAGCAGAGAAAGGAGATGTACAAGCCCAGGTAAGATTTAAGTTCATCTGATGGCATGCAGAGTTTTTCAAGAATTACAGGAACAGCTTTATGAAATATGGAAAGACACTGGGGCTTTAGTTTTCTCTTCCTCCTAAATCTAATTGGTTACTATTTCTTGGTTTAGTTTTTATGAGAAGAGGCTTCTATTTTGGTGCATTTAAGGTAGAACTTGGAAAGAAAATAAAAAATTTTGTGGAAAAGAAGTCCAAAACATTACAACTTCAGCATCTTAGGAAAGAGGATCTTGACTTTCACTAGAAACCAGCCAGACTAGTTTAAGGATAACTTTAGATGTTGTGGAGGAAGCCTTGATCAAAAGAACTGACTCTGATAGGGGACCTCAGTTTCTTGCTGCTTCTGCTCCTGCATGACTTCTGCATGCTGCAGGCTGGACCTCTTCACACACCCAGTGCAGGAGGGGCGTACACTAATATAGGCAAATTGTCACAATTCAACTTGGTTATATGAATTAAGAGTTAGGCAGGCAGAATTCAAATGAACAGTTATTGTTTTGTATCTAGGACAGTCATGTCACTTTTATCTAGGATAAAAGCCAGCAGGTCAAGGGAGGCAATTCTGCCACTCTACTCTGCTCTGGTGAGACCCCACTTGGAGTCCTGCATCCAGCTCTGGAGCCCTATGCACAGGAAAGACATGGACCTGTTGGAGCAGGTCCAGAGGAGGGGCACAAAAATGATCCGAGGGCTGGAACACCTCTCCTGTGAGGAAAGGCTGAGAGAGTTGGGGTTATTCAGCCTGGAGAAGGCTTTGAAGGAGACCTTATTGCTGCCTTCCAGTGCTTAAAGGAAGCTTATAAGAAAGATGGGGACAGGCTTTTTAGCAGAGCCTGTTGTGATAGGACAAGGGGTGGTGGCTTCAGTCTGAAAGAGGGGATGTGTAGACTGGATATAAGGAAGAAATTTTTTACAGTGAGGGTGGTGAAACACTGGCACGGGTTGCCCAGAGAGGTGGTAGATGCTCCATCCCTGAAAACATTCAAGGTCAGGTTGGATGGAGCTCTGAGCAACCTGGTCCAATTGAGTTCCTGCTCACTGCAAGGGGTTTGGACTAGATAAACTTAAAATGTCCCTCCAAACCCCAGTGATTCTATGATTCTATAAATTTCTGCTTATACTAATGTAAAAATTAGGACTCTACTGTAGTTATTGAAGCAAATCTGTGCCTTCAGACTTTGTGGCATCTTTAACGCTGATATGGTCTGTTTTTGTGCATGTAATTAGCTCACTGGTATCTGTATTACTAGAAAAAGAAAGTCCCTAGAGGAAAGTGGCTTATTTTCAGTGTAAAATTTATTTTTAGGTCGGCCTTGGACAGTTGCACTTGCATGGAGGAAGAGGAGTAGAACAAAATCATCAGGTACCCATTTTGTATATCTCTGATGTGTATTACACTTGACAGAGGGGGAGAAAGTATACCTGAGACCACAGTGAAGCAAAAGTATTTAAATACGACCGCAAGGTATTTAATGACTTCAGTAGTCTTGTTCAATAAAACTTAATCTTTATGTGACTGGTACATGGAGCTGACTTTCTTACACAATTAGTTTAAGACTAATTATCTTAGAAATGAAGAAGTCAAAAACAAAGACCAGGTTTTCATTAAGTAGTACTCAAAACTGGCTGAGCTTTTCTACATGTAGTAGAATCTCTGTGACACACTGTGTGTGCATTAGTGATCATAGTCTAGTTCATGTGGCTTGCAAGAACATTTTGCTTCTGTAGACAAAACAGTGCAACTTTCAGTATTAAGGATATTAAGTGTGCATAGAAAATAAAACTTCTGCTGATGTAAGCCAACCTAGCTACTGCTTTAGAAGTTAAAATAGCTAACCTCTTCTTAAAGTAAGTACTGAAAAAATGGAGAGCTGAGGACGTGCAGTCCTGAGGATTATTTCAGGCTTGGCTACCAACCAGAAAGTATTTAATGGTCATCACATTTAAAATACGTTAAAATGATTGCTCTATAAGGGTTCAGAAATTATATCAAGTGGTCAGAATCAGTATAACCAAGCTTTGTGTAAAACTGGAATAGGAACTGGCAGATCTCTCCTCTTCTAAACAGGGTTTGGAGGTACAATAAGGAAGTAAGATTTACCTGTGTAGCTAGTGCCTAGTAGCAGTTGTAGTTTTGGTTTTTTTTCCTCTGCTTTTTGGAATACACTGAGAGGGATTGCTGCTCAATATTCCGATTATGAGTGGGGAACCCTGTTACACATATTAAATTAGGTAGGATTGATATCGCTTTTCCCCAGGAGTACCTGGTAACTTGGCAAACAACCTACTTGCCTCTGCTCCATTTGAAAAAAAGGTACTCAAATCATAGTTGTGGTGACTAAAATACTTGTTTTCTTCTCTACAGAGAGCATTTGAGTACTTCAATCAAGCAGCTAATGCTGGCAATTCACATGCCATGGCCTTTCTAGGAAAGGTAAGATATGAACAGTCTCAAAAGTAAGCAAATTGATGGCCTTTCAATGAGAAATAAAAAATATTTCCTGCTTTCTGATATCAGGCAGTTTAAAACTTGAATGCTGGAATCTAAGTACTTCTGTTTTGCTACTGTTTTGAATTGTCCTGTGAGATTTGAGAGATTTGTTCCTGTGAGAACTGAGGCATCTGAGCCAGAGTTGCCAGTAGGTCTGCATGCATCTACTCTGAACCAATGCCTGAGTCTGTCTGCAAGATGGACAATTATACCAGTTTTCTCAGATATAAGTCCTTTTTTTTAGTCTAAAACATGATTGACAAGCTGCTATTGGATATGTTAATGTGTTGCTGCTTAGAAAGGCATTTAGGTAATTTGCCTGAGATCTGGGTTGTGTGCTACCTTCACCTTGTGAGGAACTAAATCCTTATTACTCCATAGGAGTACCCTCTAAGGTTAGGCTGCAATAAGCAGCAGCTCTAGCTTATCTTTTTCAGGCTGTCGCTGCAGTACAGGATGCAAAATTCATGTCCCTAGAGCATGAAAAAATAATATAATGTGCTGGTCACAGAATCACAGAATGGTAGGGATTGGAAGGGACCTCTGTGGATCATCTGATCCAGCCCCCCTGCCGAAGCAGGGTCACCTAGAGCAGACTGCGCAGGACCTTGTCCAGGTGGGTCTTGAATATCTCCAGAGAAGAAGAATCCACCACCCCTCTGGGCAGCCTGCTCCAGTACTCTGTCACCCTTAAGGTAAAGAACTTCTTCCTCATGTTCAGCTGGAACTTCCTGTGCTTCCGTTTGTGCCCATTGCCCCCGCTGGACTCTCTCCAGTAGCTCTTCATCCTTCTTGAACTGGGGAGCCCAGAACTGGACACAGTACTCCAGATGAGGCCTCACCAGGGTAGTGTAGAGGGGAAGGAGAACCTCCCTTGTCCTGCTGGCCACACTCTTCTTGATGCGTCCCAGGATCCCATTGGCTTTCTTGGCAGCCAGGGCACACTGCTGGCTCATAGTTAACCTGTCGTCCACCAGGACACCCAGGTCCCTCTCTGCTCTCCAGCAGGTCCACCCCAAGCCTGTACTGGTGCATGAGGTTGTTCCTCCCCAGGTGCAGGACCCTGCACTTGCCCTTGTTGAACCTCATCAGGTTCCTCTCTGCCCAGCTTTCCAGCCTATCCAGGTCACGCTGAATGGCAGCACAGCCTTCCGGTGTATCTACCACACCTCCCAGTTTGGTGTCGTCAGCAAACTTGCTGAGGGTACATTCTAACTCTTCATCCAGGTCGTTGATGAAGAAGTTAAACAAGACTGGGCCCAGTACTGACCCCTGAGGGACACCACTTGTCACCAGCCTCCAACTAGACTCAGCGCCGCTGATGACAACCCTCTGAGTTCTGCCATTCAGCCAGTTCTCTATCCACTTCACCGACCACTCATCCAGCCCACACTTCCTCAGCTTCCCCAGGCGGATATCATGGGAGACTGTGTCGAAAGCCTTGCTGAAGTCAAGGTAGACAACATCCACAGCTCTCCCTTCGTCTACCCAGCCAGTCATGTCATCATAGAAAGCTATCAGGTTGGTCAGGCATGATTTCCCCTTGGTGAATCCATGCTGACTATTCCTGATAACCTTCTTTTCTTCCACTTGCTTGATGATGGCCTCCAGGATAAGCTGCTCCATTACCTTTCCTGGGATGGAGGTGAGGCTGACCGGCCTGTAGTTCCCTGGGTCCTCCTTCTTGCCCTTTTTGAAGATTGGAGTGACATTGGCCTTTCTCCAGTCCTCGGGCACCTCTCCTGTCTTCCAGGACCTCTCAAAGATGATGGAGAGTGGCTCAGCAATGACATCCGCCAGCTCCCTCAGCACTCGTGGGTGCATTCCATCGGGGCCCATGGATTTGTGGACATCCAGATCGCTTAAGCGATCCCTCACACAGTCCTCCTCGACCAAGGGAAAGTCGTGCTCTTTGTAGGCTTCTTCTCTTACCTCCGGGGCCTGGGATTCCTGAAGGCCAGTCTTAGCCCTGAAGACTGAAGCAAAGAAGGCATTCACTAGCTCTGCCTTCTCCGCATCCTCCGTCACCAGGACACCTGCCTCATTCAGCAGCGGCCCCACATTGTCCCTAGCCTTCCTTTTGCTGCTGATGTAGTTGAAGAAGCCCTTCTTGTTGTTTTTGACATCCCTTGCCAGCTTCAATTCCAGGTGGACCTTAGCCTTCCTTGTTGCATCCCTGCATGCTCTGACCACATTCCTGTACTCTTCCCAAGTGGCCTGTCCCTCTTTCCACATTCCATAGACCTTTCTCTTCCATCTGAGTTCCACTAGAAGCTTCTTGTTCCTCCATGCAGGTCTCCTGCCTGCTTTTCTAGATTTCTTTCTCAGGGGGATGCACCGATCCTGAGCATGGAGGAAGTGATGCTTAAACAGCGACCAGCTATCTTGGACCCCCCTGCCTTCTAGAGCCCTGACGCATGGGATTCATCAGAGTAGCTCCTTGAAGAGGCCAAAGTTAGCTCTCTGAAGTCCGAGGTTTTGATCCTACTTGTCACTGCAGCTGACGCTACCCCCAGCCTTCATATCCTCAACCAGTCCCTCTTTGTTCGTTAGTACAAGGTCCAGCAGCACACCTGTCCTCATTGGTTCCTCCACCACTTGCATCATAGTTATCATTGATGCTCTGCAGGAACCTCCTGGACTGCGTGTGCCTGGCTGTGTGGTCTTTCCAGCAGATATCAGGGTGGTTGAAGTCCCCCGTGAGAACCAGGGCCTGTGACTGTGAGGGTACTTTCGGCTGCCTGTAGGAGGCCTCATCAACTTCCTCCTCCTTGTCAGGTGGCCTGTAGTACACACCCACAACAGTGTCACCTGTATGAGCCTGTCCCTTAATTCTAACCCATAAGCTCTCCACTTGTTCTTCATCTGCCCCCAGGCAGAGTTCAGTACATTCCAGTTGCTCTCTCACATAAAGAGCAACTCCACCACCTCACCTTGTTGGCCTGTCTTTCCCAAAGAGTTTGTAGCCATCTATGACAGCATTCCACTCATGTGAGCTGTCCCACCATGTCTCTATGATTGCAATAAGATCATGGCCCTGCGACCACACACAGATCTCTAATTCTTCCTGCTTATTGCCCGTACTGTGTGCGGTGGTGTACAGACATTTCAGAGAGGAACTCGAGCAGGCTGGTTTCCCTGGAGGGGCGCAAGAGTATCTGCCATGTCCATGCCCACCCTTAACTTTGTTGGTCTTTTGCTTCTCAGCTTGGGACGCAGCTGAGAATCATTTGTCACTGCTCTGATTTGCCACACTTATTCCCAGCCAGATGGGATGGCTTGAGCATTGTGACTTTGCCCCCCACCCGCCCCAAGTCCTTTAGTTTAAAGCCCTCCACACCAAGTTGGCTAGCCTGCTGCCAAAGGTCCCCTTGCCTCTTCTAGACAGGTGTGTCCTATCCCTCCCTAACAGGTTATAATCACTGAAGAAAGTCCCATTGTCATAAAAACCAAAACCGAAGGCACCTGACAGGAGAAACTGCGGGTTCCTGCTTTCTCTACTGCTGCAGTGTTTTGTATCTAATAAATGCTGAAATCAATAGGATTTAGTAACCAATTTTTGCCTAGTTCTCAAGAAGTATTTTAACTGCCACTATAGTTTGACTCCACTGGTCTCACAAGGTTATTGCCTGATTAAATGTTCTTCACTGCACACTGATAGAACTCGAAGGGAATTTTCACAAACGCTTTTTAATTTTGTGGGCAGCTCATTCTTCATTAGAAGGTTAAACCTTCTGAATCTGAATTTTGCAGCAGACACGTTTTCTGCTTCTGGGCAAGTTCTTCAATGACTATTCAGTAATACAATAATCAGATTAGTCTAATAGTACAGTGGACTCCTCCTCGTACACAAAGTGAAGATGCTTCATCATGTCCATGCTAAACTGACTTCTTCAGCTGTTCTTCAATAATGCCTTTCTCCTTCAGATGTACTCCGAAGGAAGTGATGTTGTACCTCAGAGCAATGAAACAGCTCTTCAGTATTTCAAGAAAGCTGCTGATATGGTATGATTATCTCTAAGCTAGAAATACAGCATATGCACTAAAAAGTTGATGAGCTCAGAAATACTGCAAATGCTTCTTTCTGTGCACTTCCACGTGCATATACCTACTCCCAACTTCTGTCCCCGATTAGCCCATAATTAAACCCTGCTTGTCTAAGATGTCAGAAACTGCCTCCAGTTCTGGTCATGGTGCTTCAAGAAGCTGTGTTTTGCACAAGGAGTTGAACTGTCATGGATGCTGGCATCAGTATGAAATACTGTCCACCTAAATAGCCTGCAGTTCTGCTAAATCTTAATTTTCATTAATCCAGGTTGTCTTGTCACGGAAATTTACAGTGCACTGATAGTATTACTTTGATTCTGTTTTGTGGTCAGTGAACAATAATGGTTTTGGTTTTATACCTCTCATCTCATTGGAATGTTTGGGTTTTGGCTGTTAATCCCTCGTGTCTGTCTTTGACTTATGCCTTATGGTAGCCTTTGTACAGTTAAAGCATGAGTAGTCCTTAAGGAAAGATGATTAGCGTGTGAAACACAGTAGATGAAGTTTTGAAGGGTCTGTTGTAACATAACTGTCTTCATGGTTCTTGCATTGCACAATTAGATTGCCGTTCTACACCTCTGTCCTAGAGTAAGGATCTCTCAGTTTGCTAATTTCCTGCATTCACTGAAGGTTTCTGATGTGCCCCATTGCCTCTCCTGGCATTGAAGGAACACCATAGTGCATGCTTTTGCAGGGGCAGTGGTCAGTAATGCAGCCCACAGGACAGTCACCAATCTGCCCTTAAATTAACATAGATCCTCAGAGTTCCTGTAGTTGTTTTGGGACCTTCTGTAGCATCCAGAACATCTCAAACTTGGAAAAACTAAAGATGAAGAAGCTGTTAATGCCCCACCTTTCTATGGGTTCTACATCTCGTACGACATTTTGAAAGTGTACAGTAGACTTTCATAACTATTGTTGAAAGCTTTTCTTTTTCCTGTTAATCACCTGTGCAGTTACTGAACAAAAGTTACCAAAGATGCGATTTTCACCCTATATAACTATTACTTATTAAGAGCAAAATTACAAAGCAAATCTGTCTTAAGCATACTGTTTGTTTCAGTGATGTTAAAGGCATACCAAATTTGAAAGACACATCTGTAGGCTTTGCCTTTCTTTGCAGAAGTGTTTTCCTGTGTTTTCAGGGTAATCCAGTTGGACAGAGTGGATTAGGAATGGCTTACCTCTACGGAAGAGGTGTTCCAGTGGTAAGTTTTGACAGTCGTCTTTCTAATGATAGGTGATTGTGTAACTTCTTGTTGTCTAAAAACTTTTTCTCTGGAGAGAAGTACTGTGGAAGACTTAATTGTGAAGATTTCTGTTGCACTGAAAACTCCATGAGGAAATCTGTAATAAAAAAAAAAAAATTCACTATGGAGTTAGCAGCTATGAAGCATGCTGCGTTCCCTCTAATAAGTTTGAAAATGTTGCTGAAGCTATTAGAAATGCATAGCAGTGTGAATTTTTAGTAGGAGTTTTGACCTTGGCTCTAATTTTCTTGTGAAATAAAACAAATTCTAACTCTCCCTATTTTGTGTATCTTGTGAGAGTGGAGGAACACTTTGAAACTTTTAATTAGTTCATTTGCCTTGTTGCTTTTTCCACAAGAAGATTTCTTGTCAAATTTTTAAATTTAGCTATGCAAACAGATATTAAGAAGTTGGGTTAGACCAGAGTTGAGGAAATATGTTAAATAATTGTTCTAGAAACAGAACAGGGTGTCCGTTCTGTTACGCAGAACTATTCATAGCAATGCTATATATGGATGCCAGCTTTGAGATGGCTACAGACTTAAGATATGCTGATATCATTGTAGGCTTTTTCACTTTTTGTTTCCAAATTTTGGCCAGGTGTATATTTCTGCACTAGAACATCTTGCTGTAATTTTTCTGTAATGTAGATCTATCCATCCCTGCAGGCATATTTTCTTTCTTTACTTAAATTGTGGTGTATTGCAAGGCTCTAATGATTGGACCAAATCTTCCTGCAGAACTATGAGCTAGCACTGAAATATTTCCAGAAGGCTGCAGAACAGGGATGGGTCGATGGACAACTTCAGCTAGGTTCCATGTATTACAGTAAGTGGCATTGAAACTGATTTGCTATGTCTAAGCATCTGCCCTTTCAGTAACTGTTCGCTAGGTGGCACTAGAAGCATAGATATGCTGCATGTAGAGTGGTATTACTGTATTGCATTTATTTTTTTTCCTAAGACTTTCACAACATTTTTCTTTAATAATTTTAAACAATAAGTACATACTGTATTTCATACAACTCTGCTTTTCAAGAGGAATGAATAGCAATGTCTCATTCTCTTTTTAGATGGCATTGGAGTCAAGAGAGACTACAAACAAGCTTTGAAATATTTCAACTTGGCCTCCCAGGGTGGCCACATTCTGGCTTTTTATAATCTGGCTCAGATGCATGCAACTGGCACCGGAGTGATGCGATCCTGTCATACTGCTGTTGAGGTAAGGTCATCCATTTATAAAGGTCAAATAATACTGACTTGCAGAAGGTTGGATATAACCACATCACCTTATGTAGGAAATTTGTCTTAGCTAAAATCCACTGGCAACTGCACAGCCAAGGCTATCAAAAGGAAAAGTGATATATTATCAAACTCCTTTGTTGATACGGCAAGTTTGTATTTACTTTATTAGCTTTGAAGAAAATCAAAAGAATGTAATACAAAGCAAACATTGGTATTTTGTAAGTACTGAATTCTTAATTTAGACATGGGTTTAAGTGTAACAAGAAAGCTGATTTTAAGAATAATTCTGAGTAAGCTGAATCTTGGCAATGTATTTGTTTAGTAACCTGTATCTTGAAGTAAGCCTGTCTTAAGCAGTGAGTTCATCTATCAAGTTTCTTCTGTGAAATGTAAATATTTTGAACAGGCATTTGAATGTTATAGGTTTATCTCTTGCAAAACCTAAATTTCGGAAGATACTGACAACCAGTCTGCTCCCCCCTTTTTTTTCCTCTGCAGTTGTTTAAGAATGTGTGCGAACGGGGACGTTGGTCTGAAAGACTGATGACTGCCTATAACAGCTATAAAGATGGTGATTCAAATTCTGCTGTGGTTCAATACCTTCTTCTGGCAGAACAAGGCTATGAAGTTGCACAAAGCAATGCTGCTTTCATACTTGATCAGAGTAAGGACCTGAATTTGTACTGAAAGCTGGTTTTGGGTTTGGGTTTTTTTTTTGGAGTTGGCATGCAGTAGCCCATTTAGTACATCGCTAGAGTGCTTGAAGATATAATTACATGGATCTTACTCAGTTAGAACTCGAATGAGACTCTTGTCGTCTTTCCTGCTCTTGACACTGGAAAGCAGTTAGTTTAATTTTCACCTCTAAAGATAGCTTTCTGGCCTAAAAATTAGAGTACGCTTAAATTGTGACTTACGGGATTTAAAAAATGGGATAGGGAGAGAATGCTTTAGAAACTTTCAAAGTGCTGAGAAGTTTCTTCTCTGGACATCCTAAACACAGCCTTAACATTTTATTTTTAAATCCCTAAAGTAGGAGTTGTATTAGTTTTACCGTTGGCCTCTACTATTTATACAAGCTTCAGTTTCCTTTCTTCTTTATTGTGTAATGTCTTTTCTCAGCGCTTTTTTTCCCCCTGATTTTTTTGTAACATCACTTGTACTACTCCTGAAGCAGGGACGAAGAGCTGAGCAGTTGGCTCTGCTAGATTTGAAAAAACTTGTCCCAGGTCTCTTACTGCAACTCAGTGGCTAGACAGTGAATTTCTTTGAGTTTGAGGTCATAGGGAAACAGTGGAAGTACAAGTGACAAATCTTTTTAGAAACTACAAAGCCCAGTATTTTAATCTTTCTGGATCTCAAATCCAGAAATCTACGTGTCTCATTACCAGCTTTAGGGCTCTGTATCGTAATATAAAAATCAGCCAATGGTGGCTGATAGGCTAATCTAACATCTTAATTTCCAGTTAATGTTTTTCAAAAGTGCCTTAGTGACTCATATTTAGATAAGCTTCAGCAATGACAGTCTTGGGTAGGAGTGCATTCTTGTAAAGAAATAGTTTCTTCCCCTGGGTTAAAATTCTGATTGTCATTACTCAGATATATCTGCATCTTGACTGGAAATTAATTTTAAATTATTTTATACACTTTATACAGAAAATCCACATGTCAGCTGTGAGATAATATAGCTGAAACCATACTTACACTAGAAGTGGAAAAAGTTATAAATCCTTTGAACTGTCTGAACTCTAATACTTCAGCAACCCTCAATTTATGACATGGACAAGTAAAATAACTTCTGTTCTGAAGCAGCTGCAGCACTGCTGTATAAAATGTGCAGTCTCTGGCTGGTTAAGGAAATTAAGCCTTCGTTTTACTTGACTAGTCTAGTTTTTCAGATGGTCAACCTAAATTAACTTATACTTTAGCCTTGTTTTTGAGTGCACTTTTGTCAGAGCCCAGATCGTGTGCTCTTAAGACTTGCATCTCCTGGCATTCCTCAAATATGCTTCAGAATCTGCTAGATCAGGAATGGAAGAGACACTTGGTAAGCAGTATTTTAAGGTGAAAGGATACTGTTTGTTCCTAGCTCTTACGTGGGCAGATATATGGAAAGACTGTATAAATGAAAGGGTTTATTACAAATTTTGGATGGGTTGAATCTTTTTTGTGCTACAGCATAGATTACTTCAAGGTTTTAATTCATTTCAGCAGACTGAATATAAGCATGGGGGTGTTTTGTGGTCTTGCATGCATATACCATGCTCCCATTTAAGAGTTACTTTCTTCACTAGAAGAAGCCAGCATAGTAGGAGAAAATGAAACCTATCCTCGAGCTTTGCTTCACTGGAATAGAGCAGCTTCTCAAGGTATGTCTGTAACTCACAGTTCCATTTAGTTTATTTTTAGTAGAGCCATGTCATGATTCATTTCCTTTTTTTTATGAAAAAGGAGGGAAAGCTTACCTCCTTCTGTTCAACATCAGTTATATTCCACATAGGGTAGTTGCTTTTCTTTGTTCCATTGTTAGTTATAATGTCATTGCAATACGCTTGCCGTTCTGAGGTCCTGAAGATTAAAAGGGCTAAAACACAAATGTAGAATCATAGAATGCTTTGGGTTGGAAGGGACCTTTAGAGGTCATCTAGCCCAACCTCCCTGCAGTAAGCAGGGACATCTTTAGCTCGACCAGGTTGCTCAGAGCCTCATCTAACCTGACCGTGAATGTTTCTAGGGATGGGGCCTTCACTACCTCTCTGGGCAACCCGTTCCAGTGTTTCACCATCCTCACTGTAAAAAAAATTTCTTCCTCATATCTTGCCTAAATCTACCCTCCCTTCGTTTAAAACTATTGCTCCTGTCCTGCAGGACCTTGCAGTTGGCCTTGTTGAACCTCACAAGATTCACACAGGCCCACCTCTCCATCTTGTTCAGGTCCCTCTGGATGGTCTCCCGTCCTTCTTGCATGCCAACCGCACCACTTAGCTTGGTGTCATTTGCAAACTTGCTGAGGGTGCACTCGATCTCGCTGTCTGTCATTGATGAAAATATTAAACAGTACCTGTCCCAATATGTGCCCCTGAGGGACACCACTTGTCACTGGCATCCATTTGGACATTGGGCCATTGACCACTATCCGCTGGCTGCGAAAAACCAACCAATTCCTTATCCACTGAACAGTTCACCCATGAAATCCGTGTCTCCCCAGTTCAGGGAGAAGGGTGTTGTGGGGGACTGTGGTGAGGCTTTACAGAAGTCCAGAGAGATCACATCTGTTGCTGTCAAGGAATGTATGGTGTGTTTCTTTTGCCATTACATATGGAATTGTAGAGCAGTGTTAAAGAGCATTAGGAATGCTTACAGTGACTTCTCTAAAAATAAATCCACTTGGAAAAATAGATACAAAGTAGCCTTCAGAATTTTGGTAGTTGTTAACTATTTGTAAGAAATGCAATTTCCTATTCAAAGCAAACACAGCTCAGTGATGAAGAGTGTGCTCTGTGTCCAAACAACCCACGTTTAAACTCTGGTGCTTGTGATCCTGTCCGAAAATAAGCAAAACTAAACTTTATCATTGAATATCTCAGTGTGAGGTCTCTGACTTTCATATGGTGCATCTACATTAATGTCTGTCTACTAGCTTTTTACTTAAGAGCAAGTATATAACGCAAATTGAGCCTAAGAGTTTTGCCTAAAAAATCTTCAGACCTACTTGGATTTTAGTAGAGGGTTATAAATTAAGAAGATGGAATGGTTGAGTATTCGATTACCATATAATAAGAGGCTTTATTTTTCAAGTTCACAGCGTCTCTGTTTCAAAAACAAAGCTGAAGCCCTTAATTACTATATAACAAATGAAAAGTTTTTCTGTAATAAGTGGCTATGAACAACATGCTACAGCTTTTCAACTGATGCCACTAAAAAGCAATAAAAATGTTGGTAGGATTACTGGGAAGAGGACTTGCCTGAAAATAGAAATCAGTTGCATTTTGGTTAGCTAAACCCATTTAAGAAAACAAAAAAAATACAACAACAACCCAAAATAAAAAAAAAAAAATGAACAAAAAGGCAGCTGAGAGAAGGAAAAGGGGAAACAGTTTGTGCAAATTGTGGAAAGTAATACTAAAGCCCTTATTGCATCTTCATATCAAACTAAAATGCTTTCTTTGCCTAGCTGTTTTATTTTGTTATTGTTATTTCTTGATTTATAGGATATACCGTTGCAAGAATTAAACTTGGAGATTACCATTTTTATGGTTTTGGTACTGATGTTGATTATGAAACTGCATTTATTCACTATCGACTGGCATCAGAGCAACAGCACAGTGCCCAAGCAATGTTTAATCTGGGCTATATGCATGAGAAGGGATTGGGCATTAAGCAGGTAAGCTGTGGGCTGGTAGTCTGCGTCATTACAATGCATTTACTAATATCAGATTAACCACTACTGCGCTTTGGGTACTATATTACCACTTAGTAGGAATTAGCATGTCTCCTAATACATTCTCTAATGGCAGATGGATAAGTATATCCACTTCATGCTTACCTATATGAAGAAATGAGACGCAGACAGGGGGAAAACTCTTTGCCCAAAATTGTGAAGATTGACAAAAAGAGTGCCATATGCTTGAGTATTGCTTTCAAGACTTCGAAGTGTAATGAAATGAATGCAAATTAATTCCAGGTTCAGAGTATTTTAGCATAAGATTGTTCTTGTCCTCTGAAACACTGGTTAATTTCTTTGCTGTATCATGACATTTTGCAAACAAGTTCTGTGCCATCTTCAAGTAACAAACCATAAGCACCAACAAAACAATGTGGTTATTAGCTGTGGTTTTTCAAATTAGGCTGGGCCACAGTTTGCTTTACAAACGACAATGCCTGAAAGAAGGCAGTATATCTGTTTCTCTTAGGAAGCCTATGGTGTATTGCTGTCCATGAGTTAACTAAAACTTAGGGAATCCACAGCACTGGTTCTTGTATGTGTCAAAATAATGTAATTAGTAATTGCTTACTGATTTTGAGCAGCCTACATTAATGTATGATTAATTCATGCAGTTAATGTATGGATTTAGTAATATCCTCGGGGTTACCTGAAACTATAAGAATGGTTTCATTTTCCTTATTTTCAGTAAGCTTCAACATTAGTTTTTTGTCTAGGTATACACCTTTTAATTATCCTGTTGGTCTATTAAAAGACTAATTTTTGCTTCTTTCCCCCTAAATTTTTGGCGAAAGTTCAGAACAGTGAAGGGCAAGTCTTAGGTCAGTATTGTTATTTTGGCAGCAGCAAGCAATAAACATTTGAAAACTGCTTACTGACTTAGCTGTGGAAGTGAGAGTATAGTACACAAACAGCATTATTTCTAAAGCTTATCTTCAAACTTTATTGTAGGACTATTTTCTCTTTTTAACTGAGTCCTCAAAACTAGTCAACTTCTGAAAATGAGCTTGCAGCTAAAAGCAACAGTGCTAGAGTTGGGAGGTTTTCTTTAAAAAAAAAAAACAACACATCTTTTCAGACATGGACTTTTTTATTTCTTCTGCTTCTGCCTTGAAAACAACCCAATTTAGAGCAAGTAATAAAAACTGAAAATGTTATTACATCATGTTCAGCATAACTGCTAAGAATTTGAGAAAAATTAGTCCTAGTGCTATCATTTGCACAGAGTTCTCCAACCTGAAGCAGAGATGGCTACACATAGATAGCTAAAATGAGTATACAGGGGCTCACTATGAGTGTATGCAGCCTTGCTTTATGCAGATGGATGATACTTTCCTCTCATACAGATCCATTGCGGAAGGAAGAGTTGAAGTGTAAGGGAAATAGAGGTAATTAATACAAGTATGGGAAAGGAGCACTGAGAATGTCTGAGCAAGGAAATGCCATGTATAAAAACAGTCTTAGGAATTCTGGATATGTAATGTCTTTGCTTGCTGTGTCCTAAAACTTTACAACTGTAAGATAAGAGGATGGAGATCTAGGACTGACTAGATAAAGACCAAAATGGCGCTGGGCTTGGATATTCTGAAAAAGGCTAAGACTGAGTTTTGGGTGAAGCAAAAGAATATTTGTCTTTCCTTTCCCAGAATGGGAACTACTGAATTTTGAGCACCTGTGAAAATGACTGACAGTTAAAATCATGCTTCCTGATGTAGCAGATGATATTTAGCACTGAAATGTGCTCTTCCACTAGAGGCCTGTGGAAGGGACATGTGAAGACTTTAGCACTATAGTACCTAATGAATTGGCAATTTAGTCTGTTGAAGAAAGGAATGTGTACTCTCAGTCTCTCTCTACCTATGTCTGCGTCATTAAGATTGCAAGCGCTCCGGAGTGAAGGAGAATGATCCAATAGCATGGCCTGCGCAACTTCAGGTCACTGTTCGTTCTGGATAATCCTGCATAAATATGGTCTTTCTTACTGGGGTGTTTTTCCCAAACAGCTTTTGCCTTATTCTCTCTTTACGTATTGAATAAATAGTCTTTCTTACACATAGGATTCTATGCTATACTTACTGTTCATAGATGGTTTTCACACTCATACCAGGTCAATGCCAAATCAGATTCCGAAATCTCAGTGTGTACGTTGTTACGCGCTTTTCATAGATTTAATGTTGTCCAATTCCTGAGGCTGCATGTCAGAATGAAGACTATTGCCATATACTGCTCAAAGTAAGAACGAATTAATTTTCACAAACCAATTTTCTCATGGTCTTCTCATAAGATTGGCATGGTATTTCAGTGCTATGTGTATGTTAAAGCTCAGACTCCTACAATTCTCACTTGTCTGTCAAGTGAGAGTGAAGAATGTATAAACAGAATGAAGTGTTTGTTAATTAGAAATGAAAATAAGCCATGAATTAGGATCTGCTTCTACACTGACACTAGCACAGTATAAAGGAGGTAAGGAAACTCTTTTAAATAGTTACACAAGTTAGACTTGCCAGGCTCAAGGATTATTCAGAGTTGTTCTATTGAATTGAAGTACTAAAGGTGAGCTAGTGTATCTCATTCACATAATGTCTTGATTTTCATATCGTTATTTCTACATATGTTATGGAACTAAGCTTTGCTGTATTAATGAGCAGAAAATCTTTATGGTATTTCACAATCTGGATAAAATTATAAAATTAATATGTGGCATGAAGTGCTGGAGATTTCTCATATTTTAAGTGTCCAACTTGGAGTACTTGCAGAGGTAGGTCTTACACAGACCTCTCCTTCACATCACTGAGTGAACATAGGCAGTTTGTATGCAGGTGTCCTAACGTTGCACAGTGTGTACCTGAAGCAGAGCCAAAAAAACCCCATAAGCAAACAAGGGAAATTAAACTATTCAGGTACGCATATCCTCTGTTCTTCTTGCTATAGTTGATGCTTGTTCCAACTGCCACGGAAGAGAGCACTCATTTAAGCTCTTCCTAAAGTTGCTGGCTGTTTGTGCTCATGCTTTTGCCAGGCTGCCCTCGCTAATGAAACTCTGTTTTGGGTAAGGACTAGAATCTAATTTGGGAGTATGTGCAGAAATGGTTAGAACTAGCACTATGCAGCCGGCTTACTGTAATATAACTGGGAGGAGTTGCTGGTGCGTACTCCTCAGTGACTTGTATTTTCTTAGTTAGAGTGTACTAGAGTTGCCTAAATATGTGCCTTAGTTTACAGTGCATAGGTTGAATATTACAAAACTCTTTGTGATCTTCAATTCTAGCATCAGTTACGATAGCTTCATCCTTAGATCGAAGCTTCCTTTTACTTCGCTGTTCAAAGGTGAATATCCTTCAGAAAAAAAGGGGAAGTTTTACTGAATGGTTTTCATTTAACTTGACAAAAAAACGTGTCTTCAGATGACAATATACAATAGCGTATAGAAAAAGCTCTACACATTATGGTTAATTGTTCAAGTTCTTCAAAATTGAGATTTGTATTTTCTTAACCTTAGGATATTCATCTTGCAAAACGATTCTATGACATGGCAGCTGAAGCAAGCCCAGATGCTCAGGTTCCAGTCTTCCTAGCACTTTGCAAGCTTGGAGTGATTTATTCCTTGCAGTATGTACGAGAAATCAATGTAAGTAATGCAGCATTAAAAGGAAAAAGAGCAAATGTGTTTTCTGTATTTAAAAGAAGCTTGAGTTGTAATCTCACTTAAGTAGAAGCCTTACTTGAGCCTTCTGAAAACTTAGGATAGATGTGGTTTGTGTTGTTGCATATTAAAAAAGTTAGTGAAGATGTGATTGCTATTGCTTACTTGTGCAGTCGTGCGAAACTGAAATGTGCACAGCCAGTGCTCTTCTGTGCTGTTCCTAATTTCCCTAACCTGTTTGACTGTTCTTATCCATGACCATCTGCTATCAAAGTTAAGCAGGTGATTACAAGACATAATTGCTGTTTAGGAAAAAAGAAATACTTTTTTGTAGTCCTGATTCTCATTCTATTTTATGTTCAGCTGTAACAATCCTACTTGAGTTGTGTTTGACTTCTATGGGAAAAACATATTACTTGTATTAGATAGTTTCACTATTGTGCAGAGTTTCTGCTGAGCGATGGCACTGAAAAAATATTTGCCTGGAATTCAGATGAATTCTTTCAATATATAGTGTCTGAAATATTTCTCAGTATTCTGACATCTTACTGTGTTTTGGATTACTTAATAATTTCAGATGGTATGGAAGTTACTACCACTTAGAGCAAATGCAAGTTCAGGTAATCCAGCTGAGTTTGACAAAATTTAATAGTTTTGAGACTGGGGATTTTTGGGAGTGTACAGTCAAAATACTCTAAATCAATTGAGCAAATACCATGTAGCACTCGCAGCAGCTAGTATGCAGAACACAGATATTCCAAGTTTTAAGTCATCTGATGCAGGCTTAAATTGACAATTACTCTGTAGTACTATCAGATACAGTAGTGAAGCATGAAGTGTGTTGTCTAATGCTTATGCGAATGGAAGTCTGATAAAAAAGCAGTTCAGTCAAAACTAACAGTAAGTCACTTGAATTCCCTGTACCTTATCTGCACGAATCTCAGCGTTGTACCACTTAAGTATGCTGGGGCTTAATGTTTTGTCATTCATGGTAGTCTGCTGATGGCTTCCAGTTTGGCTGAACTGATCAGTTCAGGTCTCTGTGTATGTGGTACTTGCTCCTCTTTTCTTTAAGACATCTAGGACGGTTACATACCTCATTCTGATTTAAATTGTGTGCTGTAATGCTCTGTATGTGAAAGCCACAAAACTACATATTGAGAACCTTAGTCTCTAGAACAGAAAATAGAATAGCTCATCCTGTATAGCATGGCTTTTAGTCTTATTGGCATTTAGTTCCTGGAAATTAAGAATATCACTGATGTGATACTATTTTTTCAGAGAGGAAAAGAGCTACTGAAGTTTTAAAACTAGTACTTGTACGTGAAGGATGTTACAAGTCAAATTTAAAATCAAAGTAACTTCCTATTCTTGCTCTTTGACATAATGATGTGGACTTCTCGTTTCTTAGATAAGGGAGATATTCTCACATATTGATATGGACCAGCTACTGGGGCCTGAGTGGGACCTTTACCTTATGACCATCATCGCCTTGCTTCTGGGAACAATTATAGCTTACAGACAAAGGCAACATCAAGCAATTCCCAGACCAGCAGGACTGCGGCCAGCTGTGCCTCAACAAGAACCACCGCCAGAGCATCAACCACCACAATAGCAACAAGAGCCTCAGTCAAAGAACTGGATTTTTCCAAAAGGAACAATTTTCATTGTGATTTAGGACTTTGGATCAACGGTCCCTCCCCCAAAAGAGGCGCAAAGAAGTTTTTCAAAAAAAAAAAAAGAAGTCTGAAGGCTGCTTAGAATGATGCCTTTTTTCAGGGATAAGAAAATTCTTTTGAAACTGATTTGAATGTTATTTCAGTGCCAATGGAATAACACTGGCTTTTTTCGTGGAAACAGAAGAGTGCTACTACAAAAATGTTGCCTGCTGTATGTAGTTCCTCTTTATTCAGAGTCTTTTTCATCTCCTAGAGAGAGCAGAAGGCTAGCATTGGAAGGTTTTTTGCCTGCTTGATAGCAGTTGCCCTATATAAAAGTAGTAACAATAATAATTTATGGCAAATTTAAGTCCAAGAAGCTGAACTATATTCAAACTCTACAAAGACTAGAGCTGTATGAACTTGTATTCTGATCTGCATCCCAAGTATTTCTACAATCCTTATTTCGTAATTTCTTACATTTTGGTCTTTTATGCTGTCTTGGATGATTTAACATGGATTATTTATAAACTCTGTAAAACTTAGCTAGCAAACATGCCACTCTCTATTTGTGCTTTTTTGTTTTTAGTATTTTCCTCCATTCCCCTTAGAGTAGACAGTTCTCGGCAGACACTGTGTAGCCCAGGAGGTGGATTGGGACAGGTTGGGTCGGTAAAGCTCATCAGTTGAAAACTATCCACACAGTGCCCAGATCTCACATCCTTCTAAAACTTTTTTGGAGCCTGCGTACTTTGAAATACTTCATGATATGAAAACAAATTAGTAGTGTTCCTAAACTACTTAAACTTGCCCTTACAAAGAGACTGAGTCTAGACTGCAGAAGGCACCAGTATTACTGTGGACACTGAAGAAAGGACAGAGCCAGAAATCTCTGTGAGTTAGCTTACTTTGTTGTTGTTGTTTTTAGAGGTTGGAAGTTCTGTATTTAATTTTCAACAATCCTGTAAGTGATCTGCACTGCAAGAAGGAAACGTATGTCATATGTCATGCATGCATCTGTTTAATGCATCTATGAAAAAGGGCCTCAAAGATGCATACTCTCTACAGAAGGGCATGGGCTTATGCCAGTGATGCTACTCCAGAGTTTGGCTGACTGATCAAAATCGTATGTTAGATTACAGCAGTGCTCTGGCTGTCGCCAGCCTCTCTTGTACCTGGCATACATGGGAGAGTCAAAATAAGGTCTCTGGCTGTGCCATCTTGAGGGTGCCTTGTAATAAGAAAATCCAGAGAGAAAGAAGACTAATGGTTTATGGCTGCTTGATACCACCAGGTCTGTGCAAAGGCCTTTTAAGAAGTGTAAAGAATATGAACTGTGGACTGATGTTTTTAGACTGCAAGAGGAATCTTCACTTTTCATTGAACTATAATTTCAGGGGTTGGGGGTGGGAAGCAGAAGGGGAGTAGCTTAGAGGCAAGAAATGCAGAAGTTTCTGTTCTTATTTACCAGTGGCAGTTAAATATTTCTGTACTAGCATTAAAACCTCTGAATATTCTGTCTTAAAGCTGAACAAAATACAACTGAGGAGGCTTTAGCTGTTTTCTGACAAAAGCTGTTGTGTTTGAAGGGTTAAGGGCTTCCTTTCATGCAAATATTTTTCCAGTGGATTGGCAGCAACCTATCAAAACGCTTCATTTAGAATTGACATTTTGATATGGTTTCAGACTTGGTACATTTGTAAGGAGACCGTTGCACAATAGATCTGTAGTTTGGGAAAGAAGAGAAGCAATCCACTGTTTTGTATACTGAAATGTCATGGATGACTAGTATTAAAATATAGGTAGATCTTCTCAGTACTTCAAAATGCTTGTGCTGTTTAAGTGAAGACAGATCTTTCATTTTAGCTTGGAGGGTTGCAGCATGTGAAAGAGGAACATCTTGTTCAGTCTTAATCATCACTAGCAGATGGAACAGTATTGAGCTTAAATGTAGTGTCTAAAATGTACAGCACTCCCCAGCTGCATTTATAAGATATCTGTGACTTCTGAACACTCCCTCTGAAGTATTTTTGCCTCTGTCACTTAATAGCTCTTTTTAGCTTGGCATGAATAAATTAAAGATTATATGGAAAATGTTTTTCAGTTAAATACCATTGGTTCATTGGTCTCTTAGGATGTTTAACAATTTTGTTACTGCATTATTAAAATGTTTTGGTTGTTTGATCTACTAGAGCTAAATTCTAAAAGCTCTGTCCTATTTGCATGAGAATCTCTCAGCATTGCTGCTATGTGACAGTCTTACAGCTGACTTTCACTGAACCTAATGCATTTTTACATTCAAGAAATCAGCAGAAGAAAATGATTGAAGATCAGCAAGTTATTTCACTTTAAAGAACTGCTTTTTGAAGAAGTGATAAGGAAGTCTTTCTCCTGCTTTTCTCCCTTCCACCAAATTACTACCGCTAACTTTTTCAGATGACATTTATTTGAATGAAGTGGTAGTAGTAAAAAGGTACTTACCACAAGTAATGGCGAGTTAACTCAGGGATTAAAGAAACGAATATGTTTTTTCTAAATCAGTTGCCTACAACATGACTTAAGTTTTTGTGACAATCCCTTGCTACTCTGTTCTCAAACTTGTATTTTGAGGGAAGTATATTTAACTGTTACTAGCAATATGTTTCTTGTTCTGCACTCAGTTTATCAAGCAGCTATTTTCCTAAAGGAGCTGGGTTGCTCATTTTGCTGCAGTGAAGTACTATTCCCTTTTGGTAGCACACAGGTTGTCTTAAAGTTTATATGCAAGCGTGTTTTAGAAGGGAAACTTGATTTAGGAGAACCCTTTCTGGATATGTTCAGCATGTTTTGAATGGAAAAATTGTATTCCTTGTCTGTAGTAATATGGACCAGAGCCTGCCTATTTGATCTTCCCAGACACATGCTTTTCTCTCCCTGGACGGAGAATGGAACTGGAGAGCAGTAACTGTTGTTGGTGGGAGTTTGATATGTAGGAAAACTGGAAAGATATGGGGAAAACGTTGTTCTGCATCTCAAATTATTGATCAAACACACTAGCTGTTCTTGTTGGTTGAAAGAAATGCTGAACTGTTGAGAAAACAGGATTCTAGTTCATCACTCTAGTGAAACTTGTCCCAGAGCTGTCTGAAATAATTTTGGTTGCTTACATTGTCCCATGATGGACAATATAAATAGAAGATAAGGCCTTTGATACGAACACCCCAAGGAGACTCTTATGAGACAGTTTTACACACTTTTTAGTCATCTTCCATAAGTCATCTGCTCTTACTAAAGTTAAAAAAAAAAAGGCAACAAAACAACAAACTATCAAATGTTACTCTTTTTGGAGAAGAGCGTTAAAACATGGATGTAAAAGGACTTCTAAGACTATGCATTATCTGGTTCCCACCTATTATATACTAGTTTTGGCCTATGAAAGGGGATCACACTCACCTTTGCAAGTTGCTTCCTTTTTAGATAGGCAACAATGAACTGAAATTCTATTTTTGTTTCAGAGAATATTAAATTGAAAAGATTTAGTTTGATTTGAACTACTGCAAATGCATATGGCAAATAGGGACTATTGGGAGGAACCCTTTGTTTTTATCAGCTGCAGTTCTTTAAAGGGTCTTGTAGGAGTTTTGTAAATTTATTTTGTATTTAAAATCAGTATAAAGGCTGGTCAAATGTAATATAATTGTATAAACAAATTCTGTTAATAGAAAGATGTACAGATTCATTTTGTACTGTATCTTTAATCTTGTGAAATAAAGATACCACCTGTGTGGTTACCCTGTGTGGTTATGATAACAGAAGATGTCAATTATTAGTTGTATGCCCTGACGTGCCACTGCTAAATGTATCCCTTCCTGTAAGGATACTCACACTTCTTTCACTTTTATTCCTTTTCAGAAAATAAATCTGTTAATTTAGGAGGGGCATAGAAAAGGGAATAGAAAATTGTGTTGCATCTTCAGCTGTGCTAGAAACTTGCCCTCTGTGTGTGTGTATGTGTGTGACCCTTTCTTCTGTACCTACAGCATCTGTACCGTGTGTGGCAGACACAGAACTGCTGTGTGACTCGAGAATAGTCACCAGTAACTTTAGGATTACTATTACATTTTCAGTACTAATACAGGGATAATACAGTGACTAGAAATAGATACCAGGGGAGGGACTTCTCCAAGCTGACAAGTTTTGCTTGCTTTTCAGGCCTTTTTCGACCCACTCATCTCTTCGGGCTGCTCCTGTTGAGACCGAGTCCTCCCTCATAAATGTGTTGTGTTGGTTTGCTTTCCAGTATGCTTATTGATTTGGAAGGAAACAGGAAGAAGGAAAGCAAGGAGGCTGAGGGAGCAATGCTGATGATTATGGAAGGCATCAATAGGTGAACTGTCTCGGGCACCAGCCCAAGTCACACAGTTTGCTGAAGTATTTGGAGGCTTCCCACGTTGTCTGCTGCTGCCAACAGCACTTGCTGCAGGTAGGGAACAGAAGTGCTGGTACTAAAACCAGCTTGAGTCTGACTAGCTCAAGCTTAGTGAGGTCATCCCTCACCTTCCAAAAGAGCCCATGGCTTGAGATACGATTGCTGATGTGCTCAAGTGAGCTGGGGGCAGAAGTGTAGATACCTTATTTGACTTGTAGCCTGCAATAGGGAGTTGTTTTCTGTTTTTCTGGTATTTGCTTTGGTTTCCTGGCTTGGTTAGTTTTGTTTGGTTTTTTTATGTTGCTTTATTGCCCCCAGTCTAAGACTAAACGCCTTGATTTAAAATGAAAATATTAATAGAAAGTATAGTTTGTAAACCTGCAACACCTGTTTCATTAGAATGTGTTATTTGGTATAATGTCAAAATGTTCTTCCTCATCTCTAAATGATCATGAGCTTAACGGTATTTCTGAATTCTGACTTTAATTCCTGTTTTTATAAAGACTTATTGAGGCAGAAAATATCACTCTAGTCTACTTGTTGCAAAAAAAAATTCAGAAAATTACTTCTTCCGAAGCTAAGTTGAGGGAGGGCGGTGTACCGTCTATCCAGGTAATGAATACTTTAACATCTAGTCTTATTTTTCTTTCGGAAAATGAAAGTTAAGTGGAGATGGAGCACCACTGTAGTTGC